TCAAATGTATTTCGAAATGTTCTCTTATTAGAATTTGATTTCAGCAGTGAAATTTTAATTCTTAACATCTGAATGTGACCAAAGGCACACCACATCATGACAAAGTTTAGGGCATCATTTGTCCGATGTTGCAGAAACCATTATTGGCTAGCTATCATTTTTTGGCGTAGGTATTGTCTATTGCCTTTGTAATTTCTCAGTTTAACGTCAAATTCGTTTTAAACACCAGGCATATTGGCGTTTCGGTTAATGCCTTACATTATGCCAAAGAGCGCGTTCGGAAGGTAATCTGCCGGGGAAGGGACTCTCATATAAAAAAAAAAAAAAGATGCGGGTGTTCTTCGTACCTTCTGAGGGTTAAAAACGCGGTTTCGGTACCTCTTAGGGTGTTCAGGCTTCAAAGGTCCACAACGGGAGCTTTTGCAGTACCTTTTAGGGTGTTGAGCCTAAAAATATATGACAGCAGATAATGTGTTGTTTTAGAGTTGGCACCTATTAGGGGTGAAAAAAATTTCAAGCCACGCCCACAAAACTCTTTGTACCTGTTAGGTTTTCTTTTTTTCGAAATTTCCGACGAGCATCCCTGTTCTTTTTATATGGGAGTCCCCCGGGGGTAATCTTCATTTCCATTTGAAACCCAAGAAACGCAGCTCCAACAGAAACAAGGTTTTTTGTGAAAGTAGACAAAAGGTTAATTTACAGCTTAGGTTGGGACGAGGGATTACTTCGTTAGATATAGATCTCTTCGATATGTTGGGCCAGGGGAACAGGAGACAGCCGGCTCTACCACAAGGTGGTGTAGATCCTGGTGAAGAAACGGAGCTGATGTTGGCTTCCATTTCATCACGTTAATTTGGTTTAACTCTTTTTTGCGTTTCATATAGAAGATATACTCTGTGAAGGTCTGGCATTAGGGAGCAACTCGTTTCCAGTTTTGAGAACCCCAGAGCGTAACCAAAATGAAAACTCAAACAAGTGGTATCTCAACATATCGTGGTATCCTATATCAGGTAGGTGATCGCATTATAGTATATTTATGAAAGTTTTAAATAATACTTAACACTACTTACAATATAATACTTAAATTACCTGCACCACGATTCAAAAACTGCCGACGGTGATGAGTGCTTATGTTACTACGAAAACACATTCGAAAAACTTAAAAAGGAAACTTAAATTGTGCCACAGTAGTTAGATTTCCGTAGGATGCTAATATTTCTACATTAATTAACTTTGTGTTTGTCTACTTTTCCACAGGATTGTTTCATGGCTGGTTGCTTTTTTTTCCCAATTGATCTTTCAAAGTTATCGATTCTTTATTGAGTATTCATCTTTTATTTTTGTTGATTTTCGGCAATTTCAGGAAGCTTTTCCATCATTTTACATTGATTTATTACTGTTACTATGAAGCGTTCATTTTTCAACTCAGTAGAGGTGATCATAAGGGCAGTGTATAAATGATTACAAATATCCTGTTGTTTAGTCGGATTCAAGGGATAATCATATCATAACTTGTCGCCTACGGACATACAATAAAAATTCTATCTACTTGTTGGTGAAGAAGGGGCGTTGTCTAAACCATTTTTGTTATGTTGTTTTTACATTTTAATGTGATTCACACTACTTAGCACTACCTCTAAACACTTGTACGGATACTTACGTACATTACTAACAAAACTGGTTATACAATGCGATTACTTATACACCACTTGCAATACGATACGATTACAGATGTAATACAATACGAATACTAATTCTTCTTTTGATTCTAATACTTACACTTCTTACAATAAAATACGATTACTGATGCTACTGATGCTAGCTACTTGCATTGTTTAAATTTTACTGCTCCTGTTGCTGTAGGACAATGATATCATAAGCGGAACTTTGGGGGTTATCCCTAGTTGGCCAGGATCCTACCCAATTCAGTTTAGTTGCCTTAAAAATAAAAATACGATTATTTAATTAGAAGTTGGCACACGCGAAAAAGGTCAATAAAATATAGAACTGCGAGTTCAGTTTGCTTTCAGAAATTATCATAGACAGTGAACCATTTACAAGCAAAGCCGTTGCAATAATTATTGGCGTAAGGTCCTACAAGTTTGCAAGTCTGTCAAGCCGCACTGTAGCTGCAAATAAGATTTCGAACACTAATACGATGGGTATTTGCAAGTATGACATTTACATGTAACTTAACCCTTGATATGCTTCCAAAGAAAATTTCGTGAACTTTCATGTAACTGTCATTTTGTAAGAGCCGAGGTTACACGGATATGATATCCTTTGCTCAAAAGTTCCTTTGTTAGATTCTACGAACTTAACGGAATACGCCCTCTTTTACTGGTGTACACGTGATTATAACAATTCTACCCAAGGCTGGTTAAAGATGCAAAAGGTAAGACGTTTATCAATTGCTGACGCTCGTAATGTTCCTCAGATAAGTTGTCCTGCTGTAGTTCCTACTTTTCTTGATAATGCTTTACTCCAACGATAGGCTTTTCATCTGCTTTAATCGATTAGTGAGACCATGCCAACACTAACGAGGGTCTGAATGGGGTTAACCGACTAGCCACAAAGGGCGAAAAATATTACTGACTACCGACTAAACCAGGAAAAAATTACCGACTAGCGACAACAAAAATTTTAAAGTAAGCAAAAGCTTTATGAATGTGTCAATGTATTTAACCGACAACCGACATGGTCCGACGTTATAGGGATGTTTGAATTCAGAAAGATCAGCATTTTGAATTTATTTCTAGCTAAGGAAATGTCCAGATCCTTTCGTAGGCTCTATTTCACCTGACGTAACCACATTAATTCCAAATTTGTATGGTAATCATACGGTTTCGAGTTCAATTTGGAATTAATTTGCACGAGCTTCGGCTGGTGCAATTTCAGCTTTTTGAAAAATAGGTATCCAAAGGGTACATGTGTGGGATACAATCTTATTCGCATTAACGGATATACACGAGCCGATGACAATGGTGTGGTATACCACAGGTATCCCACACAAAAACTCACAAGTGCAAATTAATTCCAAATTGAACGAGAAAAACCGTATGATTATTTATTGGTAATATAAACATGAAAAAATTTGCGTGGAGGAAGTGCCGAGGTCTCCTTCTTGAAGCCATTTTTTCTCATTCGAGAAAACTTYTTTCAAAGTTTCTGSACAAAATTTTCGTCATCATTTTACGTGATATCATTGRCTTAKAAAATTTCCTATTGTCTTTCAGCCAATCATAATCCAGAATTACGATGTGTAATTTGCACTTGTGTTCACTTTTTGCACTGGTGTTACACTTGAACTGCACTGCTCTCAGCCAATCAGAATCGAGTAATTTTTCCATG